AGCTCCTTGGCCCTTGCTGCTCCATCTGCCTCGAGCCTTTCCTCCATCTCCCCGGGCTCCTTCTCCTCCTTCATGTCTCAGGTCAGATAGCACCTCCTCCAGGAGACCCTCCGTGAAGGGTCCTGCACCCCACCCCACCAGCCTCTGCTCTGCAGTCTGTCTCTAATCCATAACTGTCTTTTTATTCACAGCCCTTGTCAGCATTTGAAGTGATCTCAATTACGCACTTAAATGCTATTGTCTGTCCCTCCTGCCCCCACTAGAAAGCAAGAACCCTGAAGGCAGGGTTGCTGTATCCCTTTGTCTAGCAAGAAGCCTTGCACCTAAGTGTTCAATTAATTGTTGGATGAACGCATGGAACGTGCTCAGCACAATGCCTGACATGTAATAAAACTCAAAATTGCTGCTGATTAGTATTATTTAAGAGCTAGTGGCTATCATCGTGTATGAAGAACAACTTTGCTCAGCAATCCTTATGGCGTGTATTTATTTGAGTCCTGTGTGGTGAAGCGTCGTGGGGGAAACCGGGTTAGGAGGCCCGGCGGGTGTTGCTGAGGAACAGGCCCTCTAGGTGAGGAGATGAGGCCTCTGGAAAAATAATCATGGCTTACTGGGATCATGATGCATTGAGTTGATCTCACAACAAGGCTGGAAGTGGGTATTTTTACCCCATTTTTTAGATTAGAAATTGGGGCTCAAAGAGGCTGACAGGCCTAAGATCACCCAGCTGGTCAATGTGTCTCCAGAACACGTACAGTACCTGCGCCCAGAGTGAGGACTCAGTGGCCAAGGTGTCATTTCCACATCGGTCTGGGCCTCCCTAGGGCACTTCCGGTGCATGCAATGTGAGCAGGTGCCTGGGCACGCCCCGCACCCCTGGGCACCAGGGAGGCGGCTTTGAGCTGCGCGCTTTCCTTCCAAGGCTGGGCAGGACTGGGGCAGGTAGAGGCCTGGGGCCGGGAAGAAGGAGGCTGTGCTTGTGCTCATGGGGACACACACAGTGGCAGATGCCAGGCTGTTCGGGCACACATGCATACGCACGCACACACCCCTCTTGCTCACACTTGCTCCCCCGGACACGCTGATGATTGCTCACATCGGCTGAGCCACTTTGCGCCCGGCCTGACTGGTGCCACTTGAGCTGTCAGTTGTGCAAAGGCAGGGCTGTATCCACCCTGTTCACTGGGCTTCGTCAGAGCCCAGCCCAGGGTGAGCTGAGAGCGGGCACTCAAGGTCTGCGGAGAGGAGACATTCATGCCCTTCTTCTGCTCATCTGTGCTGCAGAACCCCTTCCGTCACTCTCTCGGGCAGTGGGCCTCCAGGATCAGCATGGGGCAACGCTGCAATCAATCCTGCTCCCTCCCACTCCACGCCCCCAGTCAGCCTGCCTCCGCTGAGTGCCCCATTAGATGCCCAGGCTCAGCAGCTCTTCCCCTGCCAAACCTGGTCTGTGCACCCTGCCAAGGGCACACCCCAGTGGCCATCCTGTTTTCCTCCCTTCTTCTCCCTGCTCTTCTCACATGTCCTGGGCCAGCAGCTTATGAAATCCTGAGTTCTTTCATCACCAGTCTCCTGATGTCCAGGGCTTGGCTGCAAGTCACATGCTCTGGGGCTGGGTAGGGCTGGGACAGGAAGCTCCCAGCCCTCGGTGACCTAACTCAGGCTGACTTGGAGCAAGGCCAGAGCCACTGGTTTCATCACCCTGCATCCACAGAGCACACCTGTGAACAGACCTGTGAGGATGTGGTCCGGGAGAGGATGTCATGCTACCAAGGTCACAGGAAACGTCAGCGTGGGGTGCCAACTGTGGCACATCTGTTCACTCATGAACACAACTGCACAGCAATAGAGACAGACTCCACTTCCTAGTATCGCAGGACCAGGGTTTGAAGCCCAGCTCTTTACGCATGTAACATGCTTATTCAAGGACTCATATACAAGTCCACCAATTTACATATGGATGCGTGCGTCTGTGTGGTCTTTCGGGCTGATTAATTTCTTCCAACAATGCACGCCAGTGGGATGGTTTTCCAGAGGATTTGCTGAGCTCTTGTCATGGGCAGGAATTGATGTTTATCTGGGTAGATACGCACAGGCCTGCCCGTGTCTGTGTGAACCTGTGTGAGAGGCTGTGTGTGCAACCCCACCCCGCATCAGGTTAGTTAGCTGAGAGAATCTGGGGGGACTGGCATCACCTCTGTATCTATGGATGCATTCCGACCCTGGGTTGTTTGGGTTCAAATCTCACCTGTGCAACCTTTGGCAGGATGCTTAAACATTCTGGGCTCAGTTTCCCATTCTGTAAATTAGAGATAATGATAACCACCTGATGTGCTATGAAGACTAAGAGAAGTCGTCTGTGTAAAGGACTGACTGCAAAACCTGGCACAGAGAAAGGCTATACCTCTGAATTTCCCTGCATCTGTCCTCTGCGACATGTGACATTACCTTTTATTACAGCACTTGCCCTATTATATCCCCATTGTCTCTCTATCAGACTATTCTTTCTGCTAGACTAGAAGTCCCTGGAGGGCAGGACCATGTCTGAGTCATCTTTAAGTATAACCTGTGCGTTGCCTGCTGATTCTGAACCTCAGATTTCTCCTCCTCCATGACAATAGCTAGCATTTAATGGGCACTTGTATGAGCCAGGCACAGTGTTAAGCTCATTAGGTCTCCAAGCAATCTCAAGAGCTTGGTATCCTTATTGGCCCTATTTTAGAGATGAAGAAAGTGAGGCTCAGATTGGTTAAAAAATTTCCCAGGCTCACACAGTGACTTGAACCCGGCCGACTGCCTTACTCCCAGCCTGCTCTTGACGTAAGATTTGGGACGAAGGGTTTGGGGCATGAATGTTGCAGACCCTCTGCCTCTTGGACTCCCTATCTGACACTCACGGACACTCTCCCTCCCCCCCATCACTAACACCTTTCCCATCTATATGACTGTTCCTGTGTTTCTCTTTCTCACCTTGGGGCCTCTCAGCTCCCTGCCCAGGCACAGTGTCCCCAGGGGCCAGGCAAAGGCGCCAGATCACCCCTTCTTTGTCCAGTTGGGGGTGAGGTGGAGGAGCTTCTCTGAGGCTGGCCCCTGGGTCAGCTGGGATGAGGGAGGAAATGCAAGACTCAGCAGGAAGGAGGGAGAGCCTCTGGGTAGTGTGGGGGTGGGCGCTCAGGCTCTGGCATAAGAAGTGGAGCAGAAGGTGGACACCCCCTTCTTTCTCCCTCCTCCTTCTCCCTCCCCTTCTCCTCTTTCCTTCTCCCAAGTCTCCCCACCTCAAAGAGGGAAGGGAATGCAGGAGAGAGCAAAAATAGCTCCCCTCTGAGGTAGGGGAAGGCTGTCAAACTGCTGAGCTGCACCAGAGGGTGACCAGAGGCAGCTATGAGCTCTGTGTCTATTTAGGGCCCCCATGTGTCCCTTGGGTCTTCAGGAGCCACCACGGCCCAAGGCCTTGTGTATTCTGCGCTTGTTGTGTGGAGCACCCTACAAATGTCAGTTAGGTCAAGTTGGGTGGCAGTGCTCGTCAAATCTTCCCTACCCTTACTCATTTCCTGTCCACTTGCTCCTCTGTTTATTGAGAAAGTACTGAAATCTGTGCCCAGGCTGGAAACTCAGGGAGGTTGCCTGGGGCAATTGTGGGGCTCCTCTCATTCATTTATTTCCTGGTTCATTCTTTGGTTCTTCCTGGTGGGAGAGTGAGCCTGACTCCTGTTACTCCATCTTGACCAGAACAATTGTATTATTTTTTAATTTTTGTTTTGGAAATAATTTTAGATTTGTCCAAGAGTTACAAAGACAGTCCAGCCAGTTACTAGACACCCTCCTAGATACTCTCCTTCAATCGGTGAGTTTCCTGGCCTTTCTTTGTCTTTCATGACCTTGACACTTTTGAATAAGGCTGGTCCGATTGTGTAGGATCCTTTAATTGGGTCTTACCATGGTTAGGCTGAAGTTACGGATCTGGGGGGATGAGAACCACACAGGTGAAGTATATTTCCCCGCTGCATCACTCAGGGTCCTACAGTATCATTGGTTAAGGTAGTGCCTGGCGGATTTCTCCGCTGTGAAGTCTCTTTTTCTCCTTCCACCTTCTATTTTTTGGGAGCAAGTTGCTGAGTCCAGCTCACACTCAGGAGATGGAAACTAAGCCTCACCACCTGGACGGCAGAGCACCAAAGAACTTGAGGACACAGGTTAAAGTCGCCACAAAAATTAATAAATATTCAGAGGGAAGATACTTTGAGACTATGCAGGTATCCTCTTTCACCTGAAAGTTTCACCCACCCCTTTTAGCACTTCCTTCAATCTTCTGGTGTCTACTTATTGAAATTCTTCTGTAAGGGAAGTCCCTTCTCCCCAATTTATTAAAGGTGTCTAATCAAGTATATTATTTTTTAAAAATTTAAAGTTAATTATATTTTTAAATGAAATACACTCACATGGCTCAAAATTCAAAATGACTGCAAGTCTCTCTGCCACCCCTCTCCCCAGCCAACCAGCCCCTGTCCCCTCCCCAAAGACACCAAAGGCAACAGAGACTTTATGCATGTACAAGCAAGGCCCATAAGTCTTCCTTTTACACAGATGGTTTAAAAGTATTCATAGCGTTCTGCACCTTGAACCTTTTCACCTAACAAGATCTGTGTAGATCAGTACATGAAGAGCTCTTTCATTCTTTTATATAGTGTTCCAGTGTGTAACTGTACCATGATTTATTACGTAGTCCCCTATCAATGAACATTTAGGTTGTTCCCAAGTGTTTTCCGTGACAAACAGTGCTGCTGTGTTCCAAGTTCCAATATGTATTATTGAACCTATAGATATACCCGCACAAGAAGGAGGGATCAAAGGACATGTTTGCTTTCCTTTTAGATATTGCCACACTACCTCTCTTGTAGGCTGCACCAGTTTACAGCTTGTTTCCTAAGGCTGCTGTATAAAGCACCCCATACTATGTGGCTTAAAACAACAAAAATTTATTCTCTCACAGTTCTGGAGGCTAGAAGCCTGGAAGATTTTGGCTTTTACTCTGCGTGAGGTGGGGACCTTGAGCTGGTACGGAGCAAAGGAGGATACGACCTAACTTACATAACAGGATTTATCTGGCTGATCTGTAAAGATTAGACTTGGGGGATGGAGAAGTGGGAAGCAAGGAGACCAGGAAAAAGCTGATGCAATAATCCAGAGGAGAGGTGGCTGTGAGTTTGGTGACAAATGTTTGGGTACAGGATGTATTTCCAAGGTTGAGTTGACAGGACTTGCTGATTGATTGGATTGAGGCTGTGAGGAAAGACAGGAGTCAAAAATGACTTCAAGCTTTTGCCGGGAGCAACAAGGAGGCCGGAGCTCCCATTCTCTGAGGTGTGGACAGCGCATTGGGTCTGTAAAACACAGAACAGAGCCTGGGCCCCAGTAAGTGCCAGTAGGGGTTAGCTGTTCTTATCACTGGTCAATATTCCACTTTTGGCTCCATCTCCCTCCCTAAAATAAGCTGTCCTTGCCTTTCCTCTCCGTCAGGGCTGCGGCAGCAGGTTGTCAAAATGGTTGAGCAACTTCCTTCCCAGCAGGCATTTAAATTCACCCTCCAGAAGCCTAGGCAAGTTGCCTTACTTCTCTCACCATTAGTTACCTCATCTGTAAAATGAAGGTAATAATCTCCTTTCTCCCAAGGAGCAAATGAGAAATAATGGAATTAAGGACCCAGCACACAGGGCAGCCTCCTTCCTCCCTCGCCATGCCCCAGTGGTCCAGGGAAAAAAGCAGTCAGGATCCACCCCAGCTGTTTATTGAATGGGAAGGTGGGATGGAAGAGGTGGCCTGGGGCACAAGGGCAGTAGGGCCTACCTGGCAGTAGAGGTCTGAAGGCACCCGCTCCCCTCCACCCCAGGAGGTCCCTCTGGGCTGGGGACGACACTGAGCCTGGGAGTAGGGGCGTGGCATAGACTGTTCCTTCCAGCTGTCTTGGAACGCCCCCTAGTGGCGGAGACCGAAGACGGTGCGTCACCTGCGGGTGATTGTTTCTGCGGGATTTGGAGGGACAAAACCATTCCAGTTCTCCTGCCCCTAGCTCTTAGGGACCACTTAAATGTCTGTTCAAAGTATTTTCTGAGCCACTTGGGATCATCAGGCTTCCAGCTAGTCTCTCTGGGCCAAGCAGCCTGTCCCTAGCCCCTGCGGGTCCCACGAAAGCCCGGAAGTGCAGGACCCTGCTACAGCTGTAGAATAAGAGCTGGCCCAGCCCTCAGTCGGTAGCTCAATAGGTTAGATCCTCGTCCCAATATGCCAAGGTTATGGGCTCCATCCCTGGTCAGGGCACATATAAGAATCAACCAATGATGCATAAATAAGTGGAACAGCAGATCACTGTTTCTCTCTCTCTCTAAAATTAATAAATATTTAAAAATATATTTTTTTAAACTGCTGGCTCAGGAGGAGTCAACAGATGTGAGTCGGTGTTCCTGCAGATGGCCAGCCTTGCTCAGCCACCTCATCTGTACACTGGGGCCAGTAATAGCCCAGGGTGGAGTGGACAGAGGCTCTGATGCCAAAATGCATGAAGAAAACATACTCCAGCGGCTAAATATTTTTGTGCCATCCTGGACAGGAAGCCCAATGGGCACATTTGACCCATCCTGAGGCATCCTGGTGCAGCTGGCCGGGGTGGATAAGAATGCCCCTGCTGCTCCACCCCACACCCATTTTTGCCTATAGAAGGTAACACGTACATCAGGGGAGAATAGGAAAGTCATGGAACTTGAGAATCTGGTCCAAACCCCTTATAATACAGAGGCAGAAGCTGGTGGTTTGAAAGGGTAGGGGTTTGGTCACAGAGAGAAAAGAGTACAGACAGATTGAGGGAGATGTTCCTGCCCCTGAAGGGCCTGGGGAAGGCAGGGGTGGCTGGGAAGTTTTGAGTGGACTTGGAGAAGATTGGCATCTTGGAGGAGTTGGGGCCCTCCCCCCTGGGAATGGGCATGGGGATGTGAGCTCCAGACTTTGTGACCTGGAGTTGAGCCTCTGGCAGCTTAGAAATGAGGGTCCCCACTGACAGGGAAAAGTTAAAGAGACAATGGGAGGGTGGGGTGTGGTAGGAGAAGGAAGGGTCCAGACTCTGGGCCTGGTGCTTCCTCTGGCCGTGTGAGCAGCTCAAGAGTCCCACTTGGGCTGGATGGTTTGCACGGAGGATTTCCCAAAGGGGCTGGCAGGCGGCGAGAACCAAGCCTGGCTGCTGACATCACGGAAGATGGGAGACAGCTGCTGCTCTGACTCATCCCCGAAGACCTCCACGTGGCTGTCAGCTTCCGTGTCCAAGGGTTCTGCCTTGCTGTCCTGGCTCAGCCAGCCGGTCATGGCCCAGAACAGGCAGATGGCCAGCAGGACCCCGGCTGCCACACAGAGCGCGGTGCCTGCCAGGCGGCACGTGCCCAGAGCCTGGTTGTAGTCAGCTGCCCGCTGATCCAACACCAGGAACTCGCCCTCTCCAATGCCCTCCAGCTTGGGGGGCACCGCATAGCCAGTGGTCAGGGCTGCCACACCCAGCAGCAGAAGCAGAGTCCCCGAGGACAGGCTGATCTGAAGAGAGGCAGACAGATGGGGAGGCAGTCAGTGTCAACTAGGGGCTCTCAGACAAGGCGTCACCTTGGATCCCAATTGGACTTAAAGGCAAGTGCTTAATCCAACCTGAAGAGGTGGGAACGACAGGGCATACCGGCTAGGATCTTTCTGACAAGGAGCACACATTGTCATGTTCTACTTGGAATCCTGAGGCCTCTTGATTAATTTCCTTCCCAGCTCCCACCTAGCAGTGGGTTTCTGTTGCCACTCTTGAGTCCCCCTCCACCATTATTTGGGTCTTATCTTATCCCCTTGTGCCATCTACCCTCTATCTCTCTTTCTTATCAACTCCTACACATCCCTGAGATTTCATCTTAAACCTCACCTCCTCAGGGAAGCCTTCCAGGACACCCTTGAACTGGGTCAAGTCACCTGCCCTGTGCAAACACTGTGCCCATTCATTCTTCAGTGCACTCACCTTAGTGTATACTAGGGTGTGTACTTTGCTTACTGTGCGAGTGATGTCTGCCTGCCCAGCGGACCGAGAGCTGAGGGAGACATGAGAGCAGAGGCTTGCGTCTATTTTGGCTCGCTACGTGTCTCCCATGCCTAGCACAGTACTGGTAGAGAGTAATATCTGAGGGAAAGTTGGCAGAATAACTAAATGAACCACAGTTAGGAGTTCCTTGAGGACAGGAACTGCGTCTTCTTCAATTTTGTGTCCCCCAGAGCCTAGCACACTGCCTGGCTAGAAGACTTTAAAAATGTAAAATACTCACTGGCCTTCTCCTGGAAGTCTTCCCTGATCACCCCAGGCACTGAGAGCGCTCCTTCTCCTGGCTTCCTCTGCACACCTGGCCTGAGGCTGTGCGCTCACTCGGTTCCGGTTGGCACCTCACTTCCCCACTATATTAAAGGCTTTTGAAAGCAGAGGGAAGGGACTCTGTGCCTCAGTCTTCTAACAGTGTTTATCACAGAGCTATGCCCACTGTAGGGACTTGGCTCGCTGCCACCTCCATACTTTACCCACACAGTGCGCCCTAACCGAGCACCCTCCCTGGCTGATATGAACATTGATTGTTTCTCCCATGTCTTCCACTGCCCTGACAACAATGACCCAATAAATCATTGGAAAGCACAGTAATATTTAACTGGGATGAACCCCCATCCCTGCCAATCGGCATAAACCACCCCCCTGGTCAGAGTAATTAGCTCAGGGCTGGGCAAGTGACCAAATCAGAGCCAATGCAATACTCACTAGGACTTCCAGAAATAAAAAGCATTGTTTCTTTTCTGAAGGAAATACTAGAGGATTTCCCTTGGATGGTGTGGAGTGGAAGACTGAGGGTCAGCATAGTAGCAGCCAGCTGCGAACATGCGGGAAGAACCCGAAGCTAACAGGGGCTGTAAGGGTGGGGGCCGCACGGGAAGCCTGAAGACTAAGAGAAATCTTGAGTCCTTGGTGTGATGGTTTGAACTGCCGAATCGAACCTTGCCAGAAAGCACACAATCTCTGGTCTCTTCTGTAAAATAAGCGATATTTTCCCTTTATTGTTTAAACTCATCTGAATTGGGTTTTCTGTTGCTTGAATGTAGCAAGACTCTTAACTGCTGCATCATCCCTTTCCTTTCTATCCACTGAGTCCACCTCTTCCCCGACAGGAAATCACGAGTTGTTTCTCATCTGGCCTTACCTTCCAGCACAGTGAAGGCCACGGCCGACGGGGACACAGAACAGGAGGCCCCTCAGGGTCATCGCTGAGGGCGGTACCTGCACAGTCCTCATAGAAGAGGTGCAAGTAGGAGCGGACCCCATACCACTTGCCGTCTTCCACATTAGGGCCCCGGCTACATCCACAGGAACGGTCATAGCTTGGCATCTTGGTTTCCTGTGGGGTAGGCAAGGTTGAGCGAATAGAGGGAAAGGTCAGTTAGAGCTGTCCATGGAGACCCTCCCAGGCTCCTAAATCTTTGTCTCATCTACTTCTGTTTAAGACACCGCACACCATAGCACAGCCGGGCCTCCTGCAATCCTGGCCTGGCTTTCCCTAGTACACTGTGAAAGAGCCAACCCACTGAAGTGCTTAGCCCAGTGCCTGGCAATTGTAGATGTCAATAAAGGTGTGTGTTTGCTCTGGAGGCCACTCAGTGGCTGGGACTGTGGGTTCTGGAGCCTCACTGTCTGGACTGGAATCCTAGATCCACCACTTCCTGACTGTGTGACCTTAGACAAGTGCTTTCACCTCCTTAAGCCTCAGTTTCCTCATCTGTAAATCAGAGCTAATGATTACACCTTGCTTTGTATAGTTATTGTGTGTTCCGGGGCCAAAAGAAGTGGTAGCTGCTGTGATTATTATTACTGTAATTTCTTCATGATTATTTTTATCCTGAACTTTTTGAGTCCCATGACTGGAGTGAGGGGTCCTCATCCCCATCTCTCAAAATCCCCACCCTTTTTTAGGGTACCGTCGGGGGTAACTGTCCTGGCTGACACTTGTCCAGTCAGGCAGAGCTCCCCAAGCTGCAAGGCCTGAAAAGATCTCTCCCCAGGGCTGCCACTCAGAAGGCAACAACCTCCAAGTCCCAAGGAAACTTGACTCCACAGGAGGTGAAAGTCAGGAGCCCTTGGGATCGGGGGCCCTTAGGGTCAAGGCTGTTAGATTTCTGGAGAAGCCTATTGTAGGTAAACGGAGGCAATCTGGCTTCCTCACCCAGGTGTCTGGGGAACTAAGGTAAGTAGTGCTCTCATAACCTTGAGACTGGGCCCGATAAGTACTTCCATAGTCTTGAGTGGGCTCAAATGCACAGAATCTCGACCTGTTTTGGCTCCCTGCTGGTTTTGTCTGTCTTCAGTATATAAGGGGGCAGGGGCTCCCTCTGAGGATGCAGGGGCCACGCGGGGCCACGGGGGGCCACGCAGCTTGCAGCACGCATGGATCGCCCACCCTTGAATAAAGGCATGTCAAACATCCCCATGGCACTGTGACTTTTTCTTCCATCTGCAGGAATCCCGTGAACCTGTTCGGCCTTGAAAGGTCGCCAACACACCTATCTAAGAACCTCTCTTCTCACAAAGGGAACCACAGGTCTCAGGAATGACAGGTTTTTGTGTATCCACACCCAGGTAGGACTGGAATCAAAGTGAGGGAATGGGGCAATGCTGGGGAAGGACTAGGCTCCTGCCTTCCCCACCTCAATGATGGCCCTCAGCCCCTCTGAGCAGCTTCAGACAAAACAAAGCAATGAGTTTACACTGAAGGGGAAGACAAATTTCCAGCCTTCCTCTCATTGCCAGTCAGATGTGGCCCTCAAATCTCTGCAGAGAGACTCACCAGCAACCCCCCCCCCCCCAAACAGAAACATACACAGGCAAACACACATAAACACACAGCACTGAGACACACACCAACAAAGACACACATACACCACAAAGAGACATTCCAGACGGGCCCACAGATTATAACAGAAACACCCAGATACACGCACACAGCATAGAGAAGCATACACATACAAACACACATGAATAGAGACCCACATACAGACACACACACAGCCACAGTGTGTGCTGCTGTGATTCTTGGGGCCCCCAGAGATCCACACATGTCACAGGTGTGCTGTAGTTAACACTTGCCTGTAAATCGCTCTTCACAGCCCCCACCTACAATTCAGATGAAAAAGAGGAGAAAAAGAAAGAAAGGAGGGAGAGAGAAAGAGAGAGGAAGGGAGGGAGGAAAGAAGGGAGGAAGGAAGAAAGGGAGGGAGGGAGGGAGGGAGGGAGGGAGGGAGGGAGGGAGGGAGGAAGGGAGGAAGGAAGGAAGGAAGGAAGGAAGGAAGGAAGGAAGGAAGGAAGGAAGGAATTAACAGGGAAAAGGCAGAGACTAAAAGCGAAGGCGGAGTGAAAGGGCCAGAGGGCTGGGGAGGGCTGGCGGGGCGGAGCTCTAAGGAGGCGTGGCCAGTGCGGGGACCGCCCCGGGCTGAAGAGCCCAGGAGCGGGGGTGGGAGAATGAATGGGGCCCGCAGAAGAGTCCGAGTTAGTGCAGCGACCTTAATTAAAGACAATAAAGCAGAGGGCGGGGAGAGAGTTCAGGCACGGCTGCCCTGGGTTAGTTCCTCCCCTGCAACTCGCTGCCCTTCCCCAAATACACGTTATTACTCAATCCTGCTGGCAGCGGAGAAGGAAGGTGACCTTGACGCTGCCGCCCCCTCGGCCTGGCCCCTCCCCCCGCCTCCTCCGGCGGCCGGGAGGCGGTCCAGCCGTCTGGCGCTCTGGAGGAGGGAGGGAGAGGATGCTGCGGACCCAGCACGGGTACCAGGGACCAGGGTTGCCACAGGAACGCCGGGGAGGCGCCCCGAGGCGGCAGCGGGGAGGAGCTCTCTGGGAAGGGAGCGGGAAGGGGAGGGGGCCCAGCCTCCGTGAGGGGGCACTGCGGCCGGGTAGGCGCTGGGGGCAGGGCGCGCGGGAAGACGACCGGCTGAGGGCCTGGAGATGGATGGAATCGCGCCTCTTTGCACCGCCCCCCTCAGTCCTTCCCAGAGCCCCAGACCCGCCCACTCTGGCACCCGGCGCGACCCAGGCCGGGAGAAGGGACGCCCTCCTGGGGTGACGAGGCCAGAGAAATCAGGCCAATTTCCCTGCCCCCCCCGCCCCCCGCACCAATGTCTCTGACCCGACCACCGTCCCCTGGTCGAGAGTAACCTCATCCTTTCCCCTAGAGGTAAACTTAGTCGGGGCGGGGGGGATGGATTTTTAGTAGAGATATGGGTCTTGTCCTTTGAAGCCTCCGCCCATCCTATCACCCCGGAGATGTCTCGGGGCGATGGCTGGTGCAATCGCTGCACCTTGTTACTTCACTGAGATCCCACTTCCCAAAGCCCGAGGCACCCGAGGGTCTGGGCGCTGCAGTGCTGCCCGAGGCGGGACACGGCCCGGGCTGGGCATTCGGGCAGGGGTGGGGGTTCGGGGTGGGGGTCGGGCCGCCCGTGGAGTGGGGTTAAACTCACCTCTCTGCCTGCTGTCTCTGCTGAGCGGGAGCAGGAGCGAGAGCAGAGCAAAAGCGGGTTCGGTCGCGCCTGCGCCGCAGTCCGGGCGGATGGGCCCCCCCAAGGAGTAGCTCTGCAGATTGCGGACCCCTGCAGGATCGCGAGCCCCTGTCCCCTTCCAGAGTTCCCTTCTCTCTCCAGGCCCCCCGCACAGATCCCACTGTCTCTCTGGACTATACCCCTCATGCAGTCCCCTCACACTCCTCACCCGAATCTCGCATCAGTCCCTCTCACTGAAGACCTTTGCCCTCACTGAGCCTTCATTTCCTCACCGTACCCTCAGCACCCTCTCCAGGGCTCAGTCCCCTCATGGAGCCCTCACCCCAGTATGCAAATACGCGTCTTCTCTCAGAGTCCTCACCCTCTTCACGGGCTCCCGTCTCTCTCTCTGAGCCCCCACCCATCGTTGAGGCTCGCCTCTCACTGAGTCCTGACCAGGGCCCCTTATCTCTCACTGAAGCCCTCGCCCTCTCATTGAATCCCCCATCCTCTCCCCAATCTTTTTTCCTGTTTGAGCCTCTACCCCTTGCTAAGGATCAGCTCCCCACCCTGCCCCCCGCCCCCGCCCCACTCTGCGCCCCCCGCCCCCGCCCCACCCTTATCTTGAGAAGGGAATTGGGATTGGGGTTGGAAAAGAAGCTTTCTTCCCTAGGAAGGAGCCAATGAGACAGGCTCCCTTGTTCTCTCTCCCAACCTACCCCTGGTTCTGCCCTATGCAATGTTTGCCTATGGCTCATCTCCGTGGAGAGCAAGCCTTTGCCAGGCAGCTTCATCACTTCATTCCTTGTCATGTGCCTACGACCTTGGTTTTGTCCCACATTTGCTGTGTGGCCTTGGGAAAGTCACTGCGCCTCTCTGAGCTTAATTGGGCACAACTGCACAGACATATCTTCATGTCTGGAGCATCCATTCTGTCTCTCTTCCTGCTAAGGGCTGGTAGACGAGGCTGAATGAACTCCACACATTTTTCTCATTCATTGTTGTATATTGAGCCTCGCATCGTGCTTGGCATTGAGTGGGCAGCTCAATAAATATTTTCTAAACACAGACTAATAATAATATCAAATGTATTGACTGGGGCAAAAGTAGATTTACCGTTGTTTTTGTGGAAACAATACAATAATTAATAAATAATACAAGAATAAACTGTGTTTTGTAAACCTGCTTTTGCCCCATCCTGTATGATGCTCATTATGTGCAGAGGCTTGTGTAAATGCCTTATATGTACTGTACTCATTTAACAGAGAGAGAGAGAGTCAGGGAGACGGAGCTCAAACTATAGGCCTTGAGTGGAGAGGCAGGCTACATGAGATCCTTCAGGACCGCATAAGGAGTTTGGACTTCATCCAAGACAAATGGAGATCCATGGAAAGATTGTAAAGAGGGGAGGGATGTGATCTGATTTGCACTCAAAATTTCCCTCTGGCTCTGGCTAGTTTGCTCAGTGGGTTGGAGCATTGTCCAGAACACCAGAATGTTGTGGGCTTGATTCCTGGTCAGGGCATGTACCTAGGTTGCAGGTTCAATCCCCAGTCAGGGCAAGTATGGAAGGCAACCAATCAATCTCTCTTTCTCTCCTTCCTCTCTCTCAAAAAGCCAATAAAATATATCCCTAGTGAGGATGAAAAACATAATAATAAAAAGATCCCTCTGGCTGCTAGCCCCTTAGGGGAACAGGATAGAAAGCTCAAGAGTGGCAGCAGAGAAACCATCCAGGAGACTCCAGACCAGAGACGCTGATGTCTTGCCTAATGAGCTTGCAGAGAAATGGATTCAAGGGGGTGTTAGAGACTAAAATGAACTAAAGAGACGGGGGGGGGGGAGACAACCTGTGATCATTTAAAACATGGCTGCAAATTCTTTAGCGCTTGTAGGGAGGTGGGATCTCTGTACCCTCTCTGTGTGCCTTGAGTGAGCTGATAACTGCTTCAACCAATAGAGTATAGTGGATACTGTGCCCTGACTTCCAAGACTAGGATGTGGAAGGCTGCCCACTGCCCCGGAAGCTCTAGCTCTTGGAGACCTGAGGCTCTGTGCAAGAAGTCCGCCTACTTTGAGGCTGCTATGGTGTGAGAAAGCCAATACCACATGGAGAGCCCACAGAAAGGCACCGCAGCCTCAGCCACACTTGGCCTTTGAGTCATCCTAGTTCAGTCATCAGACAAGTGAATGAAGAAGCCACTAGACAATTTCAGCCCACTGCCATTTGAACAAGCTTCAGCTCTGATAATATCAGAAAGGGGATGGATGATGTTCTGGAGGAGAAGGGAAGGGGTGAGGTTAAAGGCAGGGAAGGATAAGCTAGGCTTGAGCCAGCACAGGAAGAATCCAGTGTCCTTTGCTACATAACTAACTAGCCAATTCCTGGGGAGGGAGCGGAGAGTGGCCACTGAGAAGAAGTAGAGTGTGCTGGTGGTGAGCTGAACTCTGAAGTCAAACAGATCCAGGTTTGAAACTTGGTCTCGCCACTTGCTATTTACACGGTTTATCTGCTCTGAACCTCAGTTTCCCTGACTGTGAAATAGAGATAATATTAGTGGCTGCCTCTCAGAGGCTTATAAAGAGTGAAATGAGATGCTCATCTAGGACACTTAGCAAAGTACCTGGATCGTGTTGTTACTACTATTAATGTTACGTTAGTGTATAGGTGGGAGTTGAGTGACATGACACCTGATAAATTGAATGCTCTTGAGAAAAACAAGACCCGTTATCTGTGAAGAAAAAAAGAAAGGTTTTAGTTCAACAGGAGGCCTAAGAAGGGTGGCAGAGCAGACACAAAAGGCCACATTTTGTATGATTATATATGTGAAATATCCAGTCAGAAAATCCATAGAGGTAGAAAACAGACTAATGGTTCCTAGGGGCTGGGGGAAGGGAAGACTAGGGAGTACTGCTTTAATGGTTTTTCTTAAGGGTGATAAAAATGTTCTAGAACTAGCCCTGGCTGGTGTGGCTTGGTGGATTGAGGGCTGGCCTGTGAACCAAAAGGTTGCCGGTTTGATTCCCAGTCAGGGCACATGCCTGGGTTGCAGGCCAGGTCCGCAGTGGGGGGTGCATAAGGCAACTACATGTTGATGGTTCTCTCCCTCTCTTTCTCCCTCCCTTCCCCTCTCTAAAAATAAATAAGTAAAATCTTTTAAAAAATATTCTAGAACTACACAGTGGTGAGAGTTGGCCAACATTGTGAATGTACTAAATGTCACTGATGATAAGTTTTCTGTTATGTATATCTTACCACAGTTTTTTAGAAAAGGTAATGAAGACTTGGAACAATTAATAATAATAATGAAAGCAGTGATAAATATCGTTTGTTGAGCACTTACTCTGTGCCTGGATCATTTATCTTCTCAGTAATCTCATGAGATAGGAGCTATGATAATTCCAATTTTACAGATGATAAAGCCTGGGTCTTGGGAGGATGAGTCACTCGCCTGAGGTCATTTGGTAACAATGTGGCAAACTCTGAATTGGCTCTGATGACTCTGAGGCCATGATCTGTGGAGACAGTGGTCCGCATGGCTCTCACTTTCTTTGGCAGTGTCAGAAGAAACGGGAGTGAAGAAGGCTGCTGATACCCCAGCTCCTGGGTTGAGTGAGGTTCTCCTGGATGGGCATGGGGCGGGGGCAGAAGGAGGGAGTGATGGGGATGCAGGGAACAGAGGTGAGAGCATATCCCATAATGAACCTCAGGAGAATCCTGGCTCAGTGGGGAAGGGTGCTAAGGCAGCCCAGGAGGGGAACAGATGAATCTAGAGAAGATGCAGGCATTCTAGACTGAGGAGCTCAAGGAAGTCCAAAAAAATAGCTGGATGGGAAGGGAAGGGGTCTGAAGTCAGAGTGTGGGACCCTGTAGTTCAAGATTTTAGACACAGAAACTTGTAGGAGATGAGAAGGTCTAAGGCAGCGCCATCCAATAGAAGTTTCTGCAAAGATAAGAATGTTCTGTATCTGGGCTGCCTCTATGGGAGCCACTGGCCACATTTGGCTATGAAGCATTTGAAGTGTGGTTAGTATGACTAAGAAACTGAATTCTAAATCTTATTTAATTTTAATTACTTTAAGTTTAAGTTCAGCTAAATGCAGTTAGTGTTCACAATAATGGACAGTCCAGTGTCAGCGTGACAAACCTGGACGTCAGGGCCCTACTTTGGCAACGTGGCCCACCATCTCAGACCCCTGCCTCTCCCGCCACCCAGTGCTTTCACCCTGCCCTGAGTGGTCTCTTCCCTAAGTTGTAACCACGGTCCTTTAAAGTGTGAGTCGATTCTCTCCTCCCCTGCTCAAAACCCTCCCCTGACATCTCATCTCACTCAGGGCAAAAGGAAAAGACTGTGATGGGTTAAAGACGGCCACAAACTCTTGGTCACCCTGCCCTTTGAGAGGTGGAGTTTCTTTCTCCGTCCCGTGGATCTGAACTGGCCCAGCAACTGATTTAACCAATGGGATGTGGTGAAAGTAATGATGCCGTGCCAGTTCTGGACCTAGCTTTCAAGAGGCCCGGCTTTCTCTTCCCCGTCTTGGAACACGCATTGTGGATTGCTCCCTCTTGGACCCCAGTACACATTCTGAAGGAGCCCGAGCCATGTGGAGGCGCTCCAGTTGCCGGGGCCAGCCAAACTTCCAGCCCACGGCTAGCACCAGCTAACGCATCGGACATATGAATGAGTCATCTTGGATGTTCCTGCCCACTGGAGCCCTCAGAGGCTGTCATATGAGCAAGAAGAACCATGCCACTGAATCTGTAAACCCACTGAATCTTGATATATAATCAAACGGTGTTGCTTTAAGCTACTAAATTGTGAGATAGTTTTGCAGCAGTACATGTCCCAAGCCCGTCCCTACTATGGCCTATCATTGTATCTCCCCCACCACCTTACCTCCTCAACCTCATCTTCCTTCACTCCTTCACTCACTGTGCTCCGGCCACATTGGCCTTCTTGATGTTCCTGGAATGAACCAAGCACATCAGGCAAACTCCTACCTCAAGGCTTC